TTTTACGCGGTTTGCCACCTGTTTGAAAAGTCGAATTTGGTTAACTTATACACAAGTCATTTGAAATAATAAAATACGGATGTCAAGTGAAAGATAGTTAAGAAATATTTAGCTTGTGGTTAAAAAGTGGTATTAAAATTAGTTAAAAAGTTTAATGAATTATTAAAAAATGGATATCACATACCATATATTTACGAGTGTGGCCACCTGTTTAAAAAATCACACTCAACTTAAATTAAGACAATTAGGAAATTGAAATATGTATGTATAAAATTAAAGGTTTTAGTTTGAAGGTACTTTAAAGAGGGTTGCCACCTATTTGAAATTCGAATTTAGTTAACTTATATACAAAGTATATGAAATATTAAAATATGGGTGTCAAAGGAAAGAGTGTTAAGAAATTTTTGTTTTAAACCCTAGGAATATTTTTGAGGCGTAAGAAATAAGTGAAATAAGAAGCGATTTTTTTTTAAATTAATAAGATATTCTATAAATAAAATCAGTCCATTATTGGAAATTTATTCGTTTTTCAGTTCTCATCAGCTCATTTTGTTATCAGAGTACCCGGTTAGTATCCGTTAATTTTGATATTAGCCGATTATGCAGGTATTCGCTATTCAGTTTTAGAATAACCATAAAGTAAACGGAGATATGTATTTTGGTGGAAATTACTAAATATTATACAGTGTTACCAATTAAATTCTATAATTTCGTCTATTTTTTATTTTTTTTTCAAAACATCAGTTCTTCATAAAAACTAGTCTAATTTTAAGAAAAGTATACTACTGTTCGATGTAGTCACCTTTAGCGCGGATAGGAGCATCGAGACTGTATGGTTGTATTTTATCCCAGTGGCCGCGGCGAGCAATCTTCAAGGCGTTGGCTGTCCTTATAGTTTTTAGTTGATACTTTGGCATCGAGAATGGACCATATTGAAAAATCCATTGCTGCAGAGAAATGATGATGCGGGGTTTTTTTTTCTAAAAAACGCTAGATTTCGCGAAATTTAAAGAACGGTATCGATTCTTATTGAAACGTCCAAGGATTTCTAAAGTATTGTTTTCAAGCTCAAGGCAATAAAGCATCGTTTAAAATCACTTCATGGTACATTGGTTGATTTACCTTTACGCCCTGTTCCATATAAAATACCGCTAGAACACATTCATGCAGCATGTGAAGCATGGAACAGTAATATAGTACTTTTCCTTATAGTTGACTATGTAGTTTTTATAACGAACTGATAGTTTCAAATAAATAAAAAACAAAATAGAATAAATTATAGCATTTTTGATTGGTAACATTTCGCGTGCCTACCTCGGTAATTTGCGATAGAAAGAGAAGCAATTTTTTGTTTGTAATGTCGCGTGAGGCAGTTAATGTATAAATATAAACAAATTTTTATAAATGTATGTATGAAAAATTAAATGTACTAAATGTATTGCCGAAACACGTCGCTTTTTAATATCACATACTCAGTTTGTAAGCGATCACCTTCGACTGCGCTTGCGCACAGTACTTGTTGTTTGCTGTAGCCAGTAGGTTTCAAATTGAGTTGGCTGCAAAACAACTTTCAATAACTTTACTTAAACTTTATTGCCTTTATTANATATAATAGTTATATGCATATAAAGCATAAATGTACATATGCATGTATACATATATGAATATACTTTCCATGGTTGAGATGTATGTAGCTGCGAGCTAGTATCATTTACCGACAAGCGTTGAAAGTTTTATTATGTCATTTAACAATTTACCAGTATACTCACATGTCTAAAAGATATATGTTTAAATTTATTAATTGGCGATGGCATTTTACCTGCAATGCGAAAATTTCATGATTTAGTTGTACTAAAACTATATGTTTGCAAATTATAAGTTGTGTTAAATAAGCCTTCCAAAACGAAGGTACCCTTGGCCATTACTGTTATTGGCCATTGTGATACCAATAAGAATTTACTTCGGGTACTCCGCATGCAAATGTTAGAAAAAAGGCTGCGTGCTCATAATGTAGTTCTGCAGGCAGTCTTATGGGTCTATTACGCATTGCAACACAACCTCAGTTGGGTTGCCGATGATCACGCCTTTGAAATTAAAATGTATTATATGTACGGTGACCATTCGTACCGATTTTGGCAGGACAGTACCGATTTTGAGAAAATTGTTCCGCTGAATATTTTTTAAAAGTCGGGACGTCAAAGTGTCCTAATTTTTCATATTTGTACCGATTAAATCCCGATTTTCAGTGTTTTCTCTATTAGTTTAATAACTGTCTCCTTGTTCTCTGGCTCAAAAACAAATTTTCGTACAAACGTGGCAGCACTTTCGTTATCAAAAAGGACATAGAATATAAGGGGCCCATAAATATAGTCAGCATTCTTATTTTCAATAGATCTTTGGTTATGTTTTATTCTGTCAAACTGGTACTCTTGCTGTATCTAGTCTATCATTCTAGTAATTTTTTTTTAAGGTTTTTATAATTGTTTGTTAAGTTTTTTTTTGTAATGAAACGATTCTAACTTGAATTCAGTGAAATTATAAAAAATAATAGATATTAATTCCCTAAAAAAATTATGGACATGAAAAATATAAGCTGTAGATACAGTGGCGGAAACATAAATAAACAAGAAATATTTTAGCATTCTTTGGCTATCTAACAAAGATCATGTAAGTCAAAATTTCAAACTTTGTACAAAAATTGGCAAAATTCGACAAAGTTTCATCAAAACTTTAAGCTTTTTAATTTGATTTTTTAAAACCATTATGGGTACCGTTGAGTTTTGGTAAATATTTTTGTGCAAGGTGTTGCTCATTTTTTTCATAAACAAAAAATTGTTGAACATACTTTTTAGGTCCAAGCTACTTCAAACTTGCACTTTATTAAACTAAAATTTAATGGGCTACAAATCTGCATAGTCAAAACAATTCTGCAAAATTTGAATAAAATGTTTAAGAATTTGATCCACTTTTGTTAAAATTCGTCGAATTTTTACGTATAGATTGTGTGTAGGTATACAGTTTTGCGATTATTTTTCAAGTTTTCTTCGCTTTGTTTTGCTTTAAATAAAACTGTACTAAAAGATGTTTTGGCTTTTAATTCTAAAACCAAACTTGTAGGTTTCAAAAGCAAGGGAGCTCAGAAGGCAGTGTTGAGATGATTCCACCTCTTCATCATCCAAGCAACTACGGAAATTGAGGTCGGAAACGGTATAAGGTCGTAGGTCGTAAGTTAGGAGCCCTGTCAGAACCTGTCGAACTTAAAAAGCTCCTTTGAGCGGCAATGGTCGATCATCAGCCAAAAGAACTTTGCAACTTTTTAAGTGGGGGATTTGCCCACTCTAACTCAGTCGATTTGTTTAGAAAACGGACTCAGCTAGTCACGTAACTCCTATACCCTCGACGGGTTTTTCTCATTTACAATCTTTGTGCATCACCGATTAAAACAAAATAGCAAAATATATGGCCGTTCTATAATCATCAATCGCCTGGAAATTTAATGCAGCAGTTGTTAATAAGAAAAAGACATAATTAGCAATTATTTCGTAATAGTAAATGTAAAAAAAATATAATCCCCAAAAGGCGCTACATTTCCTAAGCCATACATCAAACACAACCTTGACTCCTTCGACTCTTGACTTTGTGGGATTAATGCAAAAGAAATATAAGTAAAAAAAAAATTAAACACATTTCGGCGCCAATGAAAAATAATCGCGCATTAGTACCAAGAAACCGAAACAAGTGTCAGGATTTACGATCATTCGTTACGCTTCGCAAGTGTGGCAAGGCAAAGAAGTCAAAATTGTATTTCCTTTTACAATTTCATTCATCCTTCTTTTGTTTTTGCATTCAATGCTATTTGTTGGGATCTTAATGACTTCCTCTCCTTTGGTTGATTGAGGATTCCTTTTGGTGAGAATATTAGAAGAGATGTGTTCAGAATAGAATAAATCAAAATTTCGGCATAGATTGAAGTATGAATGGATAATTGGTTGGGCAGATGCACGATGAGGAGTTGCCACTACTAGTGTTGTTATTTCTTGATGTTGTTGTATGCGTGTTTTTTTTTTTTTGCTTGAGAGAGAGGAAATTGAGTTGGAGTGGAGCGTTCAAATTAGATTTGGTACACAAATCAAATTTATTTAATTTTACCTGAAGTTCTTGCTGCCAAACACTGTGTGGGATCATTTTCGGCTTGCCTGGTGTGTTGCTTATTTTGTTGTTGCTGTTGTAATTTCGCTTATCGAACGCAACCAATTTGTATTCAGATTATTTTGGCATTGGTTTGGCAATTTCGTGGAATATTCTACGCTTTCCAAGTAATTTTATTTCAAAAATTTTGATTAGATTTAGCGCGAAAAGTAGTTTTCGAAAATTGGAGGTGATTTTTTTTCTTCTGACCGTTAGTTGCAGCAATATTTCATTTAATATTAAATTTATTGCATATGTAGATAAATTTTAGTATGTAAACCAAAAAGCTTTAAATCTCTAACCTTCATGAGCTAGTAAATCTTTGTTCTTAAACGCAATACTGAGGCCTTACTGCGGAGTAACTGCCCTTTTTACTTCAAAACTGTATACCATTGAGGGAAATGCTCAAATTTTCTCAACTAAATTCTGTTTAATACTGATTTAGAAACAAAAGAGGTTGTTACTTTGCAGTACTGCGCCAGTAATGCGTTTACGAACGAGGAAAAGCAACTCTTTTGCCTTTCGCACTTAACACTTTTTCTTTGCTTCCTTTCAGGATCATCCCAGTCTGCGTGGCACACCCCTCGCGATGTTAGCTGCGCAGTGCAATAAATTGTCGAGCAAATCACCTCCTCCGCTGGCCGACGCCGCTGTAGGTAAAGGCTTCCACCCTTGGAAGAAAAGTCCCACATCGCCGTCGAGCGGTGGCGGCAGCAGTGGCACATCCAGTGGTTCTCTTTCCGGCGCTGCTGGAGGACAGCATTCGCCATGCACCATCTCTTCCGCTTCGTCGTCCTCCGGTTCGGGCTCGTCAGCTAGCAGTTTGGGCTTGGGCGGCACTTCATCTGCGGCCTCATCGCGCAGTCTACCCTCGTCCAGCATCAATACAATGGTCAACATCACTGCTAGGTGAGCACTCAATTTCATACATTTACTCCTTCCCTCATGCATGCCCCTTTCCAATACCACACCACCAATTGTGCAACAAGACTTATAACTGAGAATAATTTCAGCATTTATCCTTACAGTCGTCCGATTCCATCGTCTTGCGCCGCGGTCAGCAATCCCTCAGCCTACGGTGGTGATTTGTATTTTCCGAATACGAGCAGTGCCGGCGGCGGCATGGTAGCCGATAATCATCATATGCATCAGGGTCTGCTGGGCAAGGTGGAAGGTGCCACATTCGGTTCGGTGTACTCACGTCATCCCTATGACTGGCCATTCAATGCCGTCAGCCATAAAGCGGCCGAAGCAGCAAGCGTTAACTCTGGCTGGTGGGATATGCACAGCGCTGCGGGTAGCTGGCTGGATATGGGTGGCGCCGGCATGCACTCAACAATGGCCAATTACGCCACAGCCGCCGGTTCCGACTACTCATCCGCGCTGTCACATTCGCTCTCCAACACCGCCCACCTGCTGGGCTCCGGTCAGCATCTGCTGCAGGACACATACAAGAGCATGTTGCCCGGCCAGGGCGTGGGTGGCTTCTCGCTGCCACACAGCTCACCATCGGCCGGCTCCACTGCGGCCTCGCCGCAAGCATCCACGCCATCAACACCATCGCCACGTTCGCAGCGACGCTATGCCGGCCGCGCCACTTGCGATTGCCCCAATTGTCAAGAAGCTGAACGGCTTGGCCCAGCTGGCGTGCACTTGCGCAAGAAGAACATACACTCGTGCCACATACCTGGCTGTGGTAAAGTGTACGGCAAGACGTCGCATCTGAAGGCACATCTGCGCTGGCACACCGGCGAGCGTCCGTTCGTTTGTAATTGGCTCTTTTGCGGCAAACGTTTCACCCGCTCCGATGAGCTGCAACGCCATCTGCGCACACATACGGGCGAAAAGCGTTTCGCTTGCCCCATCTGTAACAAGCGCTTCATGCGCAGCGATCACCTAGCCAAGCATGTGAAGACGCACAACGCCACCGGTCAGGGTGGCAGTATGAAGAAGGGTTCATCAGAGTCGTGCAGCGATTCGGAGGAGCCCGGAAATCAGTCAGGCGAATCGAATGGCCTATCTGGTGGCAATGGCCAGCAGAGTGGTAGCAATAGCCATCCGGGTACGCCAAATTCACATCAGTCAGGTGGAAATACAACACCCACTGGTGGGCTGTTGTCCAGCGGCTTGCATCTTTCATCGCCACACAATATGTCCGGTGGTTCGCCAGTGATGCTACACGCGCACCAACAACAACATCATCAACAGCAGCAGCAGCAGCAGCAACAGCAACAACAACAGGCGCACGCGCAAGCGCAAGCGCAGGCACAGGCACAAGCGCAGGCGCAACTGCAACATCATCAGCAGCAACAACATGCACATGCGCATGCGCATTTGCATCAACATCATCACCATCATTTGCTGGGAAGCTCGGCGCCCAGTCCGGGTTTGGATCATCACAGCACGCTGGTGGACATAAAGCCACCGATGGTTTGAGGTTCATTGGGACCCTTTCTATTTACCAACTGAGGTGAGATCGAGAACGGGTCCTACGATGAACTATTTTGGCAACTGATGAGCTGAAGGAAAACCGCCCGCAGATGAGATGCATTGGTAGTGTAGAGGAGGCGGCTGAAATACCAGTGAGGTGGAATATGGATAACGAATTGTAAATAGGCTTGTAACATTGTGTTGTTGTAAAATGTAAAACAATCAAAAATGCTAAACTAAATGTACAACAAAAGTTAAAGAAAAAAAAATCCTTAAGTAAACTGCAAACCCGATTTTAAACAAGAATTCTTGTAATTATAAAGTATGAAATTCTATTTCAAAATCAATACAAATTTATTTAAATAAATGTAGTTTAAGAAAAAGTATGTATACCGAAAAAAAATAATCAAATTACGTCACTGAAAATTTGTTTCTCTAACTAAAACCATATTTGCTAATTTTCAAAATAAAATATCACTGTAGCTCTGCGGATAATGAATAAAAACAAGAAAAAATTTCTAGTCCAATTAAAAAATATTAAAAAAATTAAAATAATAATAAAAAAGTGACGATTACGATTTAAATCTAAAAAACAGCTTGAATTTACTTGTGAAAATACTAAGCCTCTAATCTTTAAGCCTCTAAGCCTTTGAGCCACCTGCTTGTTGGTGGGCGCTCGTTTTAATTTTTATAAGAAATCTTAAATAAATGAATGGTCAAATAAAAATTTTAAAACAGAGTAAGACCACATGAAGTGTACCACGAAAATTTGGCTAAGTCACGGATTTTTTAAAATATATATCATTTGTAAAATACTTTTAATGCTTATGCTGTCATATAAATATTTTGAAAGATTAAAAACAGAAAATTATTGTAAAACTAGCAAATACCCGGCGTGTTGCACTGCACCTTAAAAGTGTATCGAGGGCTTATATTTAATTTATTCTTAATTTTCACAAAAACTACTTTGTAATGTTAGAACCCATCTGGGACTTAACTGTCATCACTGATGTTAATTCTTACTTTGCAATTTAACCCACCTGTCAAGCGTTATGCAAGGTCAGTGAGCATTATTATCACCGAAGACAGTTAAATCTTAGCTGTGTTTTTATACCTGAAACTCATTTTTGTAAAAAGTGCAGATAGACAAATTTTCGATTTTGAAAAAATAAAGTTTTTTTTTTTTTATATATAAGGGTGTTAGTTAACATAATTTCGAAGATATTTAATCCTGGAAATGTAATTTATAATCTTATAACTCGTTTCTACAATATCGTGCACTTCCTTCAGTGGTGTATTAATTCAGTATTTACCTTATCTTATCACTTTAACTGAATAAAATTTTTCAAATAGGTGGCAACTCGCTACAAAAATATTTCGGCAGTAAACTTTCTTAAACTTCGTTAGTTTGACACCTGTGTTGTAATATTTCAGTATATTAATTTAATAGTTGAATAAAATTTTTCAAACAGGTAGCAAGCCTCAACAAAAATATTTTTGGCTGTATACTCTCCTTAGGCTTTTTTGTTTGATACCCATATTGCAATATTTAATTTATTTAATCAATTAAATCGAATACAATTTTCAAACAGGTGGCAACCTACCACAAAAATATCTTTCGCTGTAAGCCTTCTTAAACCTCTTTCTTTTCACGGCCGTATTCCAATATTAAATTTATAACTTTTATTTACTTAAATTGCAATTGCCAAACAGGTGGCAACACTCTTATTATTTTTGTTCTATATTTTAAGTTAGACCTTTCGCAATGCATCGATGAATGCAGTTTTCATGTATAAGTTTTCGAGTGATGCTCGTACAAACATACAGACGGCAGACAGACAGACAAAATTCTAAATATTCTTCCGCATAATATGTTTATAAAAATTTGGCGTTGTCGTTTTTGTATAATAAAGTGTAAACATTTACATAAGTACATATAAGCGTGCGAAATTTCGTGCCGAAATATATTATATGTAAATTAGGAATGAATTTTTAATTTTTGTCCGCTCTAAAATATAATTTTCAATAACATGGACAAATATGTGAATTTTTCAAAATATTTATATGCCAGCTTTTTAGCATTATGATATATGTAAATACGTTTTTCAAAAAAGCCGTGAAATTTTCGTGGTATACTTCACGCGGCCTAACTCAACTATTGACAGAATCTTGTTTTGTATAATTAAAATTAAAAATCCTACAAAAGCACAAAGGAGAAGAAAACCCACACACATAAACAGAAATGAAAATACATACACATGTTCGCATGCATATTTATTAGTCGTAAGTGCATAGCTAGTTTTTTTTTTTTGAATAAAACTAAGAAAAAATAAAATAAATTTTAAAAAGCATTGTTGATTTTTAGCTAAACCTGAACTTGATAAGTAAATTAATACAGAATTATTAAAATTATTTAACTACCGTTTACAGAAGCGAGCTAATGAATTTAAGAAAAATATATATATTGTCTAAATATATTTAAAAACACTGTAGCTTGATTAGTTTATACATAACAAAATCGTTCACTTTAATTTACTGCTTTTCAAATCGAAGAATAAAAAACGTGTATTTTATTATAATATCAATTGATATCAGATGAATATACATATATGTAGTCAAAATAGGTTTGGAATATTAGAAGCATCGACTTAGCGGCGAGTCAATTGGACATTTTTTAAATAGTAGTCGAAACACAAAAAAAAAAATCATAACTATTTGCACAGCTGTTTTTGTTTTTTGATTTTTTTTATTAATGAAAAAATTTTATATAAATATTTTTGTTAAAAAACGTCCGCATTTGATGCTTTTAACATTCCAAATATGTATGAAATATCTGTAAATTACTTTAAAATAAATATTGCAAATAAAAATATTAATAAAAATATGATTATTACAAATAAATGTGTGCATCAACATTTTAAGAATTAGTTGTATTTTTAATTTAAATTTATTTAGCGAAAGGTTAATTAGAGTGGCACTCGGAACTAGTACATAGCATTCAAAGTTCAAGGCGTTGTTAGGTTATTTAATTCTTAGCACCGTCTAAAATATTTCCAGTGAAATTTACCCGAAAACAGTTTACGAAACGCGTCAACATGTACATGATTGGAGCCAAATTGTTTTCACCGACCAATCCACCTATTGAGCGACAAATTAGGCGTACTATGGTCAGCAAGATGATTCAGGTGAAACATCCAGGTAAGGATAATATTTGGGAATGCTTCACAAAATAAGGATAGAATCTAGGACTGTAACGGTCTTGAGCATTGTAATAAAAATCATAATTTAACCGTTAAACTTGGATTTATATTTTTCTGGTTTTTCAGTATTTTTTATCATGTTATAACCGTTATTTTCAGATATAATTTTTTAGATCATAGAAGATTAAAATAGCTAAAAGGTCCAATCTTCATCATGACGGTTATAAATGATCGAAAATCTCGAAAAACTATGAATCCAAAATAACGATTATTTTTGATTGAACAAAATAAAAATCGCAAAATAACGATTAAGGTTGGCCGAAAAAATGAAAATCTAAATTTTACGATTACACGGGCCAACGAAAATTCGAAAAAAAATGTTGGTGCGGCAAATGCTAAAGATATTTTTTTTTAGACTTTTTTTGTGCTGATTACGAATCCTTAACATATGGAAATAAGCTCGAGATTTTGAGATAACTAGGCCTAAGTGTCAAAAACTCGATTTTTTGCAATATTTGAAAAGCTCTAGCAATGAGACAAAAGGCGACAGAACTTTCCAGTTAGGCTTAAAATAAGCCAGCACTCTGGACTACTATCTCTGCAAATACCATCCCTGCACCTTGACGCCAAGGTTACTTATAGTAATTTATTAAACAGAAAAAACTGATTTTGGCAATTTTTTTCAATACCACAATTTTCAAGTACTTTTTTTTCATATTTTAGGAGGGTTTCTACCTTTTTGAAAAATTGTATTAAATTAAATTGATAAAAAAAGGAAATATTACAATACGGGTATCAAACAGCACAAAAATACTTCTTAGGCGCAGTGCAGCACGCCGGGTATTTGCTAGTACATCAATAAAATTGGCATCACTGGAAAACTAATGTATGGAATCGAATGCAGTTTCCATCGATGTATTGCTTGAGGTCTAACTTAAAATATAGGAAAAACAGAGTTGCCAGCTATTTGAAAATTGAAGGTTAGGTAAATTGATAAGATAAATTAAATATTGCAATATGACTAAAGAGGTTTCAGCAGGCTATTAGCCGAAAACATTTTTGTGGCTGGTTGCCTCGTGTTTGAAAATTGTAATTTAATTTAATTAATAAGGTAAATTAAATATTGCAATATGGGTACATATCATAGGAAAGATGTCTAGGAAAGTTTACTGTCGAACACATTTTTGAAGCCTTTTTGAAAAATTTAATTCAGTTAAATTGATGATATGAGGTAAATATTTAGAGGATACCCTTAAACTCGTAAAATGTTAAACTGTGCAAAACTCGTAGGTTTACGAGGCTGTTACGGGAACGCCCTCCTTTTACAAATGTGTAAAGAGGAGCGCAAAGTGACTGTTTGACAGGTTGAGAAGGGTTTTTGTTTCGTAGTATTTTTCATAACAGCCCGCCAGATCGAATGAAAGTTGAATTATAATTAAAATTGTGAGAATTAGCAGAAAACCTATGTTAATACAGTTAGTTGATGAAATTTATTAATTCTATTCACCTATTATTCTTTTCCTTTGTTTTCAGTATTTTATCAAAAATTTATTATAAAATCTTCGGCCGCACGGCGACACTGAAGTTGACAGTTATTTTACGAGGCTCGTAAATTTACGAGCTTTACAAGCTTTTCGAGGCTTTTACGAGTTTAAAGGAAGACTCTTATTGAATTCGTACACCTTTGATGAAAGTACCGATACTCTACCTAATTTCTAATTGCTAAATACCTTCGAAAGTATATGTACTAACAAACACCAACATTTATAGAAAATAAAGAATGCTTCATAAATCGAATATTTGATTGAAAATCTCCCTTCATAAAGCTCTTTAATTTTTTTTTTTTTTTGAGGGAGTAACAACGCAAAAATCCTTTAACGCGCAATAAAGAACGCCGGGTATTTTCTAGTCTGAAATATTTATAAAAAGCTTTTTATTAACCAACAAATAATTTTTAAGCAAAAAATAAAATTGACTTCAATTTTCATATAAAAATTTAAGACTATCGTTAATTTCTTCACGATCCAATGATCGGATCTAAACCAAATTTGTACGGGACTACCTCACCGCTACTACCGGCCGCTGTGGTGTAGTGGTAAGCAGTGCGCGCTTCCACTCCGCAGCACCTGGGTTCAAACCCTGGTCAAAGCAACATCGCAAAAATAAAGAAAAAAGGTTTTTTCTTAACAGCGGTCGCCCCTCGGCAGGCAATGGCAAACCTCCGAGTGTATTTCTGCCATGAAAAACAGCTTCTCATAAAAATACAATCGCCGCTCGGAGTCGGCGTAAAACTGTAGGTCCCTCCGCTTTGTGTGACAACATCAAGGCGCACGCCACAAATCGGAGGAGAAGCTCGGCCAAACACTAACATATGTGTAAGCGCCAATCTATTATTATTATTATTATTATTATTACCTCAAAATTGATAACCTTCTCCTTTTTTTGAAGTCGGTTAAAAAAAGGAGGAGGTTCTCAAAGAATGCTTTTCGTATATACAAAAGTTATCCCTTAGGTTAATAGTGTAAGGTTGCCACTTATTTTCGGTTCTACACAATTTATCTAAAACAACGCAATATAGATATGAAATGAAAGCTATTGTTGAAGACTTTGTTCAGAAAATATTTTCGCTCAGGGTTGCCACGCTGCTATGAAATACTCATTTTTATTTTGTTAATTTCAGTCAGCATTTTTTGTATGTATACACAGTACATACACGCTCAAGATATGTACAATTTATTCCAGCGTATTTCGGAATACGGTTGCTACCTAAATTTTTGAATAAGAAATTTACTTAATAGATCTCGAAATCTTATAGCCTCTTGCCTTTCACTGTACTTTTTCTTTACGGTAGAAAAAAACTATTTTAATTACTCCAAATGCATACACATATACTACTCCTATGTATATATACATATGTACCTATGCTTGTATATACTCCTATATAATTCGCTTTCAAAAAGCCATTTAAAATTGTATAGCTTGAACCAAAAACAATTACTTTTAATTGATTTGAACTCATTAGAACGCTGAAAAAGAGAATAATTTCCAATTAATTTCAATAACTGCTCAATGATCCTTTACACTCCTAGCAGGCTAGCCCTCCATAAAAGCAATAAACGCCGCTTAAATGTTGGGCCAACCCAAAAGGCAGTTTCGTTCGCCATTAACATCATTTAAATGTGCAGACATTTGCGTATGGGTGGGAAGACGAAAGAAATAAGTAAAAATAAACGGTAAAAATGTGAAAAGCTCAAACGAACCACCCATTTGTTGCCACCCACTATTACTCAATAAAAATACTCAAATAAATAAATAAATTGTTGATCCCCTTGCATCAAATGAGGGCCTGCAAAATCACGTCTAAATATTTGAAAATGTGGGTGGTAAATGAAATTCGGCTACAACAAGAACAAAAGTGGTACAACTGGTAACATGGAAAACAGCAACGAAAACAGTTACGGCTAGACAACAACAGGATAAACAGGAAAATGGATAAAATGCACTTGAAAATTGTATGCCTACACAGCAGCCTTGGCAGTCTTTGAAGGGCACAAAACATGCAGAGTACGGAGTAGAGTGGCGGGGGTGGCCAGTGAGTGCCCAGCAAAAAACACGATTACCACAGAAGCGAAAGTGTAAACGAGCTAGGCGATGGGAATCGCTTACGCTTTCGCTTCAGGAAGGCNGTTTTTTTGATATGCATTCTGTTTTTCAGCTGACTAGATGCAGCATTCTACTTTGCATTCCCCGAAATGAAGCAAAGAAGCGAAATAAACAAAAAATATTGTAGGACATTCTACTTTGCATTCCCTGAAATGACGCAAAGAAGCGAAATAAAAAAAAATATTGTAGGACATTCTACTTTGCATTCCCCAAAATGAAACAAAGAAGCGAAATAAATAAAATATTGTAGGACATTCTACTTTGCATTACCGACAATGCCTAAAAGAAGCGAAAAAATTCGAAGGCATTACAACGCTATGCCTTCTAAAACACGTTACCACTAAAAGCGATTACCGATTTTTTGCTGGGTGTTGTCTGGTGTGGTGCGGTGTGGGGAACGGTGTTGGTAGTCGACTACCAGCGGTTCATAACCATAAAATATGTTTTGGCTCAATTCGCATTAAGCGACCTTTAAATGCTTTGGAAAAACTTCCTCTTCCTTCCCACCAGATGATGTTTGACTTTTTTTTTTGTTTTTTGTTGCTACAGCAATAAGGATATGCTGTCGTCATGCAGGATGTGTCTCAATTCGAGGGTGAATTCAAAATGAGTCAAAATCCTAAAGTTGCTCGCAATTGCGGGGGAGCATTGTTGATGGTGATTGTGGCAGTTTATTTAACGCTTTTATCCACCATTTAGAGAGCAGTAATAAAGCGAAAGAGGATGAGCATAATGATGTTAGCTGATGTTGTTTGTTGTTGTAGTTGTTCGTAGCTGGTGGGGTGAAGTGATTTAAATTTTATTAACGCGGATTTGTTGTGCATTTATTAGAGATTTGTATGCGGAATGTCAAGCAGATTGAAAATACATACATAAATAGATGAGTGGATTAGTGGATGATTGGTTCAAGGAAAAAGTGAATGTTTGCTTGTGCACTGAGCGCAGTTTTTATAACAGCTTGTGCTTTCTATCTTGGAGACTAGATTGGTTTTTCAAATATGTTCTAACAATAATAAAAGTTTCGTTGACAAAGGGAGAGGATATAGTAGATATGTATTCCTAAAAAAACTTGACGCTCTAAGAAGAAATAATTGAACAAAATGTTCTTTAGTTTTTAGAATATCTAGCAATTTTTTTCTTTTATAAACTCAGATTCCCATATTAATAGAATTCAAAAAAAAACAATTGCGTAGCTCCTGTAACTGATACGACATTTTCGAGCTGATAGCAACAACAATATCAACTGCATGTTATGCTTACAACCGTACAATAGCAATAAAAGTAACAACAAACAATCGAATCTACAACAATGCAACATTTAATGAGATTAAAAGGCGCAACAGGGAGTCGATGAAATTGTTACGAACCAAATGCGCAATATTCACCGCGAAATTGTGGCACAGCATGCTTAGCAGGGAGCATACTAAAATAAAAAAATGAAAATAAAAATTTAAAGATCACACAAAAAAGAACCGCAAGGCCATCAGAAATGCTACAAATGCAAATGTAAACATTGAATGTAAGTAAAAAATAATATTGGAAAAATAAAATAAGTGTAGATAAAACGCTAAACGACGAAATTGTATCACTCGTTTTACCTTTACTGTTTTTTTTTATATAATTTTATCCGTCAGTTGTGTTAAGGGTTCTCACCAAAAATGATTATTCTTTTTACATGATTCCATAACAAAACTTGTCTATTTAAATATGGAGAATGCAACCTTGATTTTCAATACGAATTGATAATTAACTTAAAGGACATTTAATTTTTGACAGCCCTTATACTTATACGAAAGTACTAAGGCATTTAGTAAATTTCTCATTTAATTTCCATTTATTTTGGGGAATTTTTGCGATTTTTTCCCGATTTACTTTTTTTTATTTTTTAAAAAATTTTCATGATTTTTCGTGTTATATTATTCAGGTTATTTCGAAAGTTTTCCGGGATTGCCACGACTTTTCGGTGTTTTTGGAGGGTTTTCGCACCATTTCGGGACTTTACAGATTTTTGGTACTATTTCGAGATTTCTTAGCATTCCATATTTAATAAATACAATTTTGCTACGCTTAATAGCGAAAACTACTGTTAACCAAAAACAAAGTTTTGCAAAGATATTGATGCCAGCGAGCTCTTTTGGGCTGTTTAGTGTTCTGATGCAATAATTCTTTAGAAACAATCAATAACTATCGATCGTTTTCGATAGTATTCTAATCTTACAATTTGACTTTATATTGCGCTTGGCATATTTGTAAAAAATATTTCTTACAAAATCAGCAAATCGCATGCTTAGAGTTAAAAGTTGCTAAGTAAATTTTTAGAAGTTTTACAGGAGAGCTAGATACTTCTCTTATCCATTTTCTTCACAAATTTTGCGAAACTTTTAATAAAATATTTTACGTGCTTAAAGCAAAGCAAAACTTCATACGAAAAATTCGAATTTTTTTTAGAGCTATTTATTTTATTCAGTGCCAGATATTTTATCATTCAACATCAGATAGTTTACTTAGTTCAGTATCAGATATTAACCTTTTTTAGTTCTTTTCACTAATCTATCCCCTTTTCACTTATCAAACCACCCGCTGGAAATGCTGGTAAATATACTCTGCCCAACTATCTTTTATTTAAAGGTGCTGGCAGGTTGTGTCAAATGCACAAGAAAATTGACAATAAGCAATAAAACAATAAGTAAGAAAAACAAAAAATATCAAATTCTATCGATATCGCACCACCATCGATAGTTTCAACCACAGTCTAGGATTTTAATGCACTAGAAACTTGGAACTTGGAAACTTTTGTTATGTACTTCCTTTATGTACAATGTGCATGTCCAATTAAAGATATTAAAAAATACCAAAATTTATCAAGAAATTATAGCCGAACCACTTTTTGCCAAGTTTTAGCGTATTATTTTCGTTGTTATTTAATTTTGGTTATTTTTTTTATAAAAATATAGTACATTCTTAAAAAAAACCCCGCTTGAATTCAAGTTTCCAAATTTGTGCAATATTAAAAAAAAATCAACAAACTTTCGTACAAATTTCGATCTTTTTCAAAAATTCTAAAAAATAAATCGTAGTGTTTAGCCATTTAAAACTTGTACTTTATTCTATTTACTAGAAATCAATTGGCTACAAAACTGCATACTCAGAATCTAATTAAAAAACTCGAAGTTTTTACGAAAATGTTTTAATTTTTTTTTTTAATTGCATACATTTTTAAGGCAGTGGCACTCGATAGGTCCATTTGTACAGATTGGTACATTTTTATATTCGGCTATTGGTACAAAACCAAAAAAAAGGGAAATTTTTCTTTTTGTAGTCAAAATAGTTTCTTAAAGGATTTTTTAGAAAAAATCCCCTCAGATGACAAAACAGTTTAAGCTTCAAAAATCTACACTGCCGGAACAAAGTATTGGCACAGCAAATTTTTCACAATATATGCAACAATTTTTATTCTAATATTTTTCCGCTAATGTCGTATAAAAAATATGGTTCATTCTACAACAAAAAACATAAAAACGTAATTCCTAAACTTTGTGCAAAACTCGCGAGCAAATTTTCATGAAAATGTTCAACTTTTTAACCAGATTTTTTAGAATTTTTTTGAGTATGCAGATTTGTAGCCCAATCAGTTTTAGTACAATAATGTGCAAGTTTTAAGTAGCTAGGAATTACTGTTAATTTTTGGTAATTTTTTTTTCACGTAGTCCCTTTCATACAAACAATTTTTTTCGAAAATACTTTATATGGAAAAAATGCAAAACACTTCAACAAAAAAAAATTCTCAAAAATCAACGCGATTTTTGACTAACTCCGAACTTGCAATTTTTTGCTAGAATTTAATACTCATCTGATTAAAAGTTGAAAATTTTGAAGAACATTTGCTGAATTTTCGCGAGTTTTGCACAAAGTTTAGGAATTATATTTTTATGTTTTTTGTTGTTGAATGAACCATATTTTTATATAAAATTGGCGGGAAAATATTAGAATAAAAATTGTTGCATATATTGTGGAAAAATTGCTGTGCCAGTACTTTGTTCCTGCAGTGAACATAAAAATATTAAAAAATTGTATCAACAGAATCATAATAATGAGATTTTTGATGCTGTTTTTTAACTTTTTTCAAAGATTTGTTTAAGAAAAACTTGAAAACCTGCTTCAAAATTTACCGATATAGACTTATAAGGTATCACAGGTATCATTTTCTCACCCTTTTTGTTTCTTTGAAAAAAAACTCATTCACGTCCCAATTTTTTCTTATTCAATACCAACACATCCTTATTCAGCATGGAATGACACTCGTTTATCTTACCTCCCTTTTTCATATTTTGAATGAGCTTATTCGCAAAGAAATTAAAAGGGTGAGCAAATGATACCTCATAAGTCTAAATGGTAAGGTTTTGGCTGAGTTATTTAAGTTTTTCTTAAACCAGTCTTTGAAAAAAGTGTAAAAACAGCATCAAAAATCTCATTATTATGATTCCGTGGAATTTTTTTTTATATTTTTATGAAAACTTTCTAAACTTAACTACTCAGTCATCTGAGGCATTTTTTCAAAAAATATTTAAAAAACTGTTTGTTAATAAAAGAACTAAATTTTTGGAGGTATTTTCAGATGGTAAATCTTAATATTTTTGCGAGCTATTTTGGTGGAAGTCTTAAAACATAATACATAGATTTTATAATTCCAGTGCCGCTTTTTTTTTGTATGGGCAGTCTACTCCACATAAGTTGGCTATGATTACTCTGCCGTCTATCATAGTAGCACAATGCCGCTAAGTACATTTAAAAATTTTCGGGCAATAGCCTCATGCAATTATCGATTAGATTTTTTGTTGTTTGTGTGAAATATTTTATTTTTATAATTTTATTTTATTTTTTCTTTAATCAAAATATGTTGATATAAAAGTGAAAAAAAAAATTTTGCCAGAAATTTAAAAAACACATTTCAAATCCATGGGAAAATCGCAACTTTTTTTTGACGAGGCACCTTAATGTACCTACATACATACTGAGTATAATAACTCTCCTTTCAAAACTTTTCATAAATATTGATGTGGTCGCATTTTTGGCAATTAATTATTATGCTTACTGTGTAGACACGCTGAAAAATACACACATATATGTATGTACTCGTACATATGTATATGCATAAATCACGACAATAAATTAGTTGTTTTTAATTACGATTATTACGGCGATAATGGTGTATTTAACGCGCGATAAACATAAATAATCATGTCAGAGAAATTCCAAAGTAATAAAACAACACAAGTGATAAATAAAATCACAAGAAACCATATTTATGTACCAAAATTGAAGTCACATGAGCGCCACAAAATCCCAGTTCAGTCCAAGTGGCGCACAAAAGAAACAGACAAATGTACATACATATGTACATACATATGCTCACACTTGTGAAATTGTACAGATTTGGTTAATGAATGCAATGTGTGAACATGAAAACGCTCGCGATTCCCATTAAAAAATTCCAAAAACGAAAATTCCTCAAAAGTGTTGAAGTGCGACCGTACAGTACGTTACGTCGAGTGCAGCCAAGATATTAACATCCATAAACATACATACATACATATGTATGTACATACAAACGCCACATTCATCTACATATGCATGAATGTTTTGAATGAAATGACTTTTGCCTTTGCACTTCTCTAAGTACTTAGGGATGCTTAGTCCCAAAGTGCTTTATCATTTACAGGACATCCCTTGGCTCACTGCTGTTGACACTTTGGTTGCTACGCCACTACGCCACCTTCACCAAGCCAACACATCCCCAACTGTCAGCGCGCATTCCACAACAACGAGATTGCTTCATTAGTTGTCTTGTCGCGATGGTTTGTTAATTATTTAATTTGTGGCGCCACCATTCGCACGCTCAACCGCCTCCGCGAACCGCTGTGGTTGTCGTTGTCTCAACTGGTAATTGAAAGTTGTTAATACACATTTTTTATGTTGAGGAAAAAACTGCTTTTTACCCAAGAAGAGTGTATCTACTAAATATGGAAATAATTTTCTGGTAGAAATATGAAAATTAAGCAAAGCTACATTCATTAATCATTAGCATGTCCTTGCCATATCCATATCCTGATGGCAATCGCGGCAAGCAATGGCAATGGTGGCATGCTGCGTTCACCATGGGCTCACATGCATAATCAATTCACTGCAAACTGAAAGTCGATGCTTTCATTTTATCTCTATACCAACAAACTTTTTTTTTTTGTAAGAAAAAACACAGCAGTAAAAATGCTCGTTCCTCGTTAGTGCCATAAAACAAAACGCCACGCTACCATCGCTGCGGATTCGACACTTTCTACTGCTATTATTTTAATTTACAACTTGTTTTGTTGTCATTGTTGTTTGTACTTTGGTTGTGTTTTCTTTGTAGCCGTACTGCTCCTTTGAAATTTGAATACATGTGCGCATACGAGCAATGTAACAGCGCTCTGAACAGCAGGAGGCTGTGTACTCATATTCATACGTACGCACGTGGCGGCATCCTTTTGCTGCGACACTTTCCACACACACACTTCTTCTATTAAAATATCTAAATATATACATACATACATGCATAGCACCATCTACATATGTATATTTTATATGCACCCACATCCATACTTTCTTCACACTTGGGTTCACTCGACGGGTGTCGTGTCCTCATTTGACACTTTGCCTTGTTGGTCAAGGCTTGGAGTGTTCACACATTTGGTGAGAGTGAAATTTTCTTCGTTTCAGTTTACAATTTAATTAAGCAATTTGGCGATTTGCAAACATTTAGTTAGAAGATAGCGCATACAAATTTTCAAAGAAGTTTCTTTAGATGTACATATTTTGATAAACAATTTTGCTAGACGTGCTGACGTTACGGGAGTTGATCGGTAGCAGATTGCGAAGCTTGACATATCTATTTTAAAAACGACCAAGCAAGGAAAGTGCTGACTTCGAAAAATCCGAAGGAAAAAAGAAAACTCGCAACACCCAACAACAGTTGTCAACTCTACGATGACGTCAAGCCAAAATTACTCTCACGAATTCTGCTGCGATCGGTGCAATCTTGTATTCTATCATTCTTGAATTGTACCCATCCATACAACGGTTGCTACAAATTTTCGCAACCCTTCCCGTGTCAGCAGTCTGCGCAGATAGTGAAAGAACTCTTTAGAAAAGTATCGATACTAGTACTCATATAGAATACTCTAAAGAAGAATCGATGCCAGTACTCATATTTGCAACTCGTAAAGTAATCGTTTATAGCATAGAGCTATAAGTTTTAAGAGTAAATATTCTATAATGTTTAAAGCGTATATTTATAAACCACTTTACTTTTAAAATGAAATGCAAATGCAGAAAATGAGAAAACAAGGGAGGTGAAGTCCATTCTCTAAAGTAAATATAATCTATCTTTCATAAAAGAATGGGTTGGATTCCGAATAAACAATGAGGGTAGAATACATTCGTTAACGGGCGATCTGATATGCTGGAGAATAGCCAAGT